TGCAGATAATTTGCTAAAAATAAAATATAATATACATAAAATTGATATAATTTTGACAAAATGCTAAATTATAACCTTTTATTAAAATTATTATCAATTTGCTAAAACTAAAATCGGACTTTAGGCCAAATTTTTAACTTTTTGCTAAAGTGATAGTATGACCTATATGAGAGATGTCTAGGGTCCTGCTTTATCCCACTTTAGTGCTTTCAACATTACATTGTTTATTAATACGTGTTTCAATGTTCGAAACGAGTTTTCTTCTTCATTAGTCTATCAAAAACCTATACTTTCCTTCGTAAGCTTGGTAAGAGGTTTCACTATTTTGCTAAAATTGTTAATGAAGTGTCAGTAATAGTTCATTACCCCAAGAAAGGACCTAATATCTTTAACATTTATGGGTCTTTTCCATTGTTCTATCAATATTACACGTTTTAGATCAACTCTAATCCCTCTTTTCCCAACTACAAATCCATACATGTTAAGTTCCCAGTACAGTAAGTGACACTTCTTTGCCGCAAAGGTAAGACCCACCTGCTTAAATTTCAATACTAATTCTACGAATTTATCTACATGTTTTCTTATTTCTCCATTCGTCCAGAGGCCTATATCATCTTGATATGCCATAGCTACCTCTTTCCATTCATCTCCATCTAAAATCTACGTCCATTAAATGTTAGAACGTTTTACTGGCATTCTTCAAACTCATGCACATGACTGTGTAATGCAAAACCCTAATGGAGTAAATACTGCCTTTATTTCTATCACATTCTTTTATCTAAATTTGCCAATATCCTTTATAGGCATCTACGGATGAATACTAATCGTGGCCTATGGCTTTTTCTAAGATGTCCTGAATCAATAGTTACGGATATCCATCTTTTATAATATATTTGTTTAAAGGATGCATATCGCCTACCACACGCAACTGACTGGTTCCACCTTCCTTTTTATTCACAGGGAAACAAAGGTAGGCATACTGCCCCATTCCTTTTTCAAGTAAACTATTTTTTAACATTTCACGTAATTGTTGCTCAAATAATCAGGCTTGTTCAGGGTTATTAATTTTAATTGGCCACATTTTACTAGCTAGCACTTCTTTTCCCCTCGTTCTAACTTCATATTCTATTAAATTTGTTCTCCCCATTTCAGATAATTTAAACGCAAATACTTGTGGGACTTTATTCAGCAAACAGTTTTCCAGGTACAATCATTCATAGGATAGAATTTCATTATTGATATCTAAAATGTTCATTCTTTCTTTCGTCAATTGCATAATTACTTCAGGTATTTGTTTCTTAGCTGTTGCATTATCACATTCTTGTAAATTATCCACTTGTCCATAGTAGTTCTTTGGCAATTTGCCTTTATCTATCGGTTCAATTTTCTCAATTTTTACAAAACCTGCATTCCTTGTATCCTTTATCAATTCATCACACCGGTTTCTCGATTCTTCAGCACTTTCAACGTCTAATTGCATTCTTCGTACCAACATTATTTCACTTTCTACTTCATCCATCTCTTCATCATAGTCCTCCATATCATATACATCAGTCATCCAACTCTCAGATATGACAGATGCAATAAAAGATACTTTCTTTAATTCCGATGCAACTGAACACCAGAATTGATTATCTTTCTATTTCAGGTTGCATTTGGAAGCCGCAATCCATGGCATTCCCAGCAAAACGTTGAAGCTTGCGGTTTCCATTACATAGAAGGTTTGATTTACTACTACTCCGTCTATATTTACCTTTACATTTGTTATATACCTGACAAACATGCTAATTCAGTCATCTGCCATTTTTCTTTTTCCCTTGGCAGGTTTCCAAACAAGACCTCTTCTATTAGTATAATTAATATGTATGAGGTTTAGATAAGAGCCGGGGTCAATAGGTACGTCAATTGTTTCATTATTCACCTTGTTTGTTCCCATTAGAACATCACCAACTTGTTTATTAAAGTTGGACTGCACTGTTCTGACAATACTTACATTGGTATCTAACAATACCACGTCATTTTCCTTTTTTTTTTTTTTTGTCAGAGCCTTTAATATTTCAGCGCGAGCTTTTGGAGACCATTTAAAGAGTTGTCCAAGTGTTACCGTGATTTCTAGCTCAGCAACCTTTTTTAATATATCGAGTTCTTGGGATAGTTCAGCTAACAGTATGTACATTATTGATACCTTTGGTTGCGACATTTGTTCATTTGAGCTTTCATTAATCTTATTCCTCTTATCACGTGCCTGATAACCAACCTCCATTTCAGGACTTTTACATTTTTGTAGATTATAATTTCTTAGGTCAAAAATTGTCTCTTCTTTTGCTATTTTGATTCTTAAATATTCTTTTTCATTGCATGAAGTTTCTGATGCTTTGAAATACCTAACATCAGCACTACTTATGTTCACATTTTCCTTTTCAACACCTTTCCTCTTGTTATTTAGATCATCACCTTTCTTGGGTCCTATTTTCTTTGAGCAATTCCAAGAAATATGACCCCCCTGGTCACAATTATAACACTTTTGTGCTTCACTTTGGTTTTGTTTAGATTCTACCAATACACGGCCAGAACTTTGTCTTTGGCACAAGTTGTTCTGTGACGAGTTTGTTTGTTGATTACGAGTATTTTGACTTTTATTGTCGGCTATATTTTTAATAATTTTGGTAATTGAGGTGTGGCGACTTAGTGAAGTGGTCTAGTTGTCACCCTCACCAAACATTATGGGAAGATCCCATGTTCAAATCCCAGGACGGCGCTTTTGTAATATGGGAAAAGTCTGCGACGATCTTCACTAAGGTTGGCCCATGGAGGGTCTGTCGAGACAGTGTTTGGTGGCACCATTGAGGTGATTCCAGAAGGCTGTAATCTTTGGGCTTTGCATAGCATGAGTCACAGAACCGGAAATCGAAGCCCGTTTGGGAAGTCCCGAGTTGGGAGGTAGTAGTGATTTTCAACGGTACTACATGAAGGCTGAATTTGAACCAGGGCCCGAGATTGGTGAACTGAGCAATCAGGTCCTTTAGTGGAGGGACACACCAGCCAAACCGCCGGTTAAACCGGAGAAAAAGGCTATATGCTCCGAAAGTATGGACCAAGTGGAGGGCATCCTTCAGGCACCTAAAGCCTGGGTATACCAACCTGTCCGGATTGCCGGCTGGAAGTAAGGGAGGGACCGATAGAGAATCTGGGTAAAAAAACGGTTAGAATGTAGATACCGGGGTTGTTATGAACCTTACAAGGGCAGGAGTACATAATTGGCAACTAATTAGGAAGGTTGTGCTTGAGATATGGATCGGGTTATAGCAGCACCCCAAAAGTTGGCTTGAGA